TTTAACCTTTGATGTAGATATGTATTTAAAATTAATAGTATGTATTTCCTCAAAAATCCTCTAATGAGCTCGCACATGCGGAATCTCGATGCAGATGTACTACTTACTTTGCTAGAAGTAAGAAATGAGGAGTTTCCCAACGACTCTCTCCTTCCTTATGGTTGACCTTCTTGTGGATGATGGAAAGAACGTTTGTTTAAAATTAAAATTTGCATCTACAGAAGATTTGCAAGAGGGAGAGATGTCTTCTTGTAGAATGGGTTATTAAATCTACCTTGGACAACTCCAAAGACATAAACACTACTGTGAATCAAAATTAACAGATTCTAATTAAATTAAATAGCATGCAATCTAAAGTAAATTTTTGAGAAAAAGATGTAACCAAATTAAATTGTTATCTACAAATAGATTTGGAAATTAAACTGTTGCAGATTTAGAGATTTAACTCTAATTAACACTAAAACAAACATGAGAAGGAATTAAACCAACATGCTTAAAATTGAAAATAAGCATGAACTTCACATAAGTAACCATTTGAACAAACACTACTTATCATAAATATTAAACTAATTACAGTTAGAAAAGGAATAGTATCTTGAAGAAATTCAAAAGTTTGAAGTTCATTACATGAAATGAAATTGCTAAAGCAAATACATGAACTAATTTGACTACTGAAATGATGAAAAAACAACATAAATCTATTGGGAATTGTGTCGAAATTTGAAATTTATAAGCAAAAGTGAGCAATTGCAGAAAAATTGAAAATATAAAAATTTGCAAATTGTGTATAGGGGTTGGTCGTGTGTTTTCTCATCCAAAATTTCCCTTTTGTTCTCCTTTTTCTGACTGTTAACTCCCCACTTTCTATAGTTTCAAAAATCATGACAATTTCTTGATGTAGTGGGATATCTCAATAGTTGACAGGGTCAGATTGCCTTTCAGATTTCACCACCTGTCCTCTTTATTTGATAACACATACTCATAACTGAAACTTCCTCCTAAATTTCAATTAAAACAAACCCAATTTAACTTTAAAAGATAATTAAAAGATAAAATCTGATATTTTTATCTCCTTCCTTTAAATGTGACAGCTGATCTATCATGGGACCTAAAATTGCATATTTGATAGGGCAAAATCTCCTCCATTCATTTAAAAATATTTGACACATAGCATGATCTTAAATTTCTGAAATTATGGTGTAAAAAGTATGCATAACCGACACATACTTGAGTATATTCCCCACACTTGATGACTTAAAAGTTTGTGTGATCTTCAACTCTATGTGAAACTGCTGTCCAGTAATAACTAATCAACCTCCTTGAAACTACATTTTAATTAATATTAATCAACAATCTTTTGCGAGCAATTACTTTTGAGAACAATAATTGCCTTTGGGTAAGCTAAAGTTGCATCCCTAACACAATTAATTCATATTGAAGTTCCCTAACCAGCAATTTGTACAAGATAAAAATAGAAATAGAAAAGGACTTAAGGATTGAGGCTTCTCGGCCAAAATAAAAAGAAAAAAGACTTGAGGCTTCATTTCATTTTATTGTTGATGCTAGTTTTGTTCTTTTGTTACCAAACTAAAATTAACGAACTTTATTGAAAGAGTTTAACAAGTTAAGCAATTTAAATCTTGAATTAAAATTTTCATATTTAAATTTTAAGTCAAGTAAGAAAGCAAGATGAGTGAGAAAGTGAGAGGAAGAGTTAGAGAGAGACAAGGCTATGGAGGCAGATGGGTACAGAGTTTAGGATGATTTTCTGGTACCAGAATAGACACGGGCAATCTTTGGCTAATAGCAGTTAAGACAGGAAGACTTTTTATGAAGCAAAGAAGCACTCTTTCGTTGATAGCAAATTGGACAAAAAGGTGTACAATGATGCAACTCTTTTCTTTTTCACAAACTTTCCTGAAGATTAGGCCTATGAGGAGTTGTGGCGAATGCTCAAAAGACATGGTCGAGTATATGAAGTTTTCTATCCAAACAAACATGACAAGTAAGGGAGACATTTTGGTTTTGTGTGCTTTCAGGATGAGAATCAGGAACTTAAAGCTTCATGTTAATGGGCGGAGGTTTGAAAGGAAGGCAAAAGGTGACAAGTGGGTTTTCAAACCAAATGTAGTAGTAGAGAAGGTGAATGAGCAGCAACAAGAAAGAAAGCAGGTTAATAGGACTCGTAGCTATGCTAAAGTGGTAAGGAATCAAGAATTGAAAGCTAGTGTTGCAGAAGCAAAAGAGTTTGAGGTCTATGGCAAAAGGAATGACTCCCTTGGTTTCGAAAGGCTTGGTAACAAGGGAAACTAGGTATGGAGGGAGAAGGGATGGGATCCAAATTGGTGTGGGATAGAATTCCAGATTAAAGAAAAAGAGATGAAATGGCTAGAGGGATACTTTGTGGGCACGGTGCATAGCATCGAATCTATTCCCACATTACAAGAAAAACTATACATTGAAAGGTACTTCTCCTACACAGTACGACCAATGGGAAGGAAGTTGATGCTGTTAAGTTGTGAAGATAAGGAGGAGCTAAGCTATTTGGTGGAAAATGCACAAGACTGGCTTAGTTAATGGTTTGAGGATATCAAACCTTGGTCTCCTACAACTGTTGCAACAGAAAGATTAGTTTGGATCAGGTGTCATGGAGTTCCACCTCATGCTTGGAACATAAATTTTTTCAAATCTTTAAGCTACATCTGTGGGAAATGGATATCATTAGATGATAGCACCAATAGAAAAATAAGATTTCATATGGCGAGATTTCTAATATCAACTTCTAGCCTGGAGGTGATATCAAAGGTTTTAAAGATCAAAATTAATGGAGAAATATATGCTATCAAAGTAGTTGAGGAAGAAGCTACAAATAGCTTGTTTTCGATGAAAACAGATCGAGTTCCAATTTTTTCATCAGAAAGTGAGGAAGAGGAATGTGAATCATGGCCATGGTGGTCATCAAGGGACTCATTTTCAAAATTGGGAGGCCGCTTTGATGAAAATACAACTAGAGAAGCAATGGAGGTGGAAGATGATGACATGGAAGGTGGTGATGTGGAAATACAAATAGTAGGGGTGGTTAATGATGTGGAAGATGATGTGGCCAACTATCATTTACATGATGGGATAAAAAATATTAATAGTAGTGATGAGCTGAGTTTAAATGGTGATGTTAATGGAGAAGGTTGTTTTGAGAGCGTGAACAGGGAAGCTTCTAGTAAGCTTTTGAGTTCCAAGGAAAGTAATGACAGTGCACAACAATCGGAGGGGCTCACTATATACAAGAAAGACGGCTGAGTTGGGCGATAGCACGGTCAAAGAAACAAAATTAAAAAAGGAGGATGGTAGCTAGTATAGGATAAAGGCGTAGGCAAATGTGTTGACAGCAATACAAATGAGCCATTCCCCTTTAGGTGGGCCTGAGGTTGGTGCAGACTATAATGGGCTTGGAAAACAACCTGAGAAGAATTGTGGGACGGTGGATCTTGATGATCAGATACAAAATGAGGACATCGAAAACATTAAAGCTAGATCCAAAATAAATAAAAATGCCAAAGATATTTCTTTGGTTGGAGATGTATTAACAACAGTAACAGAGAGGAAAACAACGATATCTGGCAAAATTTGGATAGTGATTCTAGTTATGAACAAGAAAGGAGGAAATGTGAAAGGAAGAAAGATAAGGGGCTTCGATGGAGGAAAGCAAAATCTTATGCTTCTGTGTACAAGGAAGCAAAGTTTATTGCCATGGAAGCTTTTCAAAATTGCAAGGGGGAGATCGAGGAAGAATTAGTTGGTCGAAGCAGAGTCACTGTTCATCCCAAATCAAGCAAAACAAGTTGTAGGTGCGTCTCTAAATGATAGTGTTATTGTTAATTGTAACAATTGCTTGAAGAATGAGGCCCATGAAGATGCATTTAGGGATGTATGGGATTTTGCAAAAGAATTAGGAGTTGTAGCTGTAGGTGATCAAATGGTGGTATTAGAAAAATTACAAGATATGGAGAGTAAGGATAGATTAAAACACAATGACTTAGAGAAGGGTAATGGAGTTCAACAATGATTATTCTCTCTTGTAATATTAGAGGGGTTGGCAAAAGGGAGAAAAGAAGGGAACTCAAAAGGTTAGTCAATAAAGAGAAGGTGGACTTCCTTTTTTTACATGAAACGAAGATAGAATCTATTGATAGGAATTTGTGCAAAGAAATATGGGGTTCTTAAGATTTTGATTGGGTGGGTAAACCTGCAGTCGAAAAGTCGGGTGGATTATTGTGTATTTGGAATTGCAATGTGTTTAGAAGGGACAAAATTTTGGAAAGAATAGGTTTTATTGGGGTTTTTGGCTTTTGGGGGTCAAAGGCCATACCATGCTATCTGGTGAATGTGTATTCTACATGTGATTTAGTAGGAAAAAGAAGACTTTGGGAAGAGTTGGGCAAGCTGATCAGTACAAGTAGGGGCAATTGGTGTCTAGGGGGAATTTTAATGTAGTAAGATCTAAGAATGAGAGATAGAGGTGTATGGGAGTGAATACATAAATGAAAGGGTTTCATTATTTTATAGAAGATAATAGCTTTGTGGATTTACCACTTATTGGCAGGAGGTATACTTGGTGTCAACCTAATGGCACTGCCATGAGTCGCTTGGATAGGTTTTTGTTTTCAAATGAATGGGTGTTAAATTGGGAAGGGCTAAAGCAATGGGGGCTATGCAAATCAATCTCAAACCACTATGCAATCCTTATGAAGACGAAGAGTGTTGATTGGGGACCAAAACCTTTTTTGCTTCTTTGATGCATGGATGAAGGTTACTGGATTCAAAGAATTATTTGCTAAACAATGGAAATACTTCCAAGTGGAGGGGTGGGAAGTCTTCAAATTACAACAAAAATTAAAGATGATGAAGGCTTTCTTGAAAAACTAGATTAAGTAAAAATTTCATGATCTGGACAACAAAATTGAGGAGCCCAGGTGTCAGGTTAAAGCTCTGGATATCAAGGGCAAATCCCAACAATTATCTGCAGCAGAAGTGGAAACCAAAAAACAGAAGAGTGTGGAGCTTTGGAAAATGTTAGAGAGCAAAGAAAGTATGCTAAGACAGAAATCAAGGAGAAGTTGGATTAAAGAAGGGGATGAAAATACAAATTTCTTCCATCAATGCATCAAAGGAAGGTGGAGGAGGAATGAAATCAATAGTGTGAAAATCAATGGGAAAGATCTTAGGGAGGTGGAGGAGATTAAAAATGGGTTAACAATTTCCTTTGAGAAGATGTTTGTAGATGAAGGGTGGTCAAGACCAACTTTGGAAGGAATAAATTTTAAATAGGTCTCAAATGAAGACAACAAGATGCTTGTGGACAGATTTAACAAGGAAGAAGCAAAGCAAGCAGTATGGAATTGTAGCAGTTCTAAAGCCCCTAGTCCAAATGGATTTAATTTTGGGTGCCTTAAGGCATCTTGGGAAACAATAAAGAATGATGTTTTCCAATTTGTAGAGGATTTTTAGAAAAATGACAAGTTGGTGAAACGCTCAAATTCATCCTTTGTGGTACTAATCCCAAAAAAGGATAATCCAATTCATGTTGAGAATTATAGGCCTATTTCCTTAATTGGGTTCATGTACAAAATTATTTCCAAGCTGTTGACTAATAGATTGAGAATAGTCATGGATGGCATAATAGGGGAGCAAAAATTGGGATTTGTAGGAGGTAGACAGTTAATGGACGGAGTGGTAATGGTAAATGAGGCAATTGATGAGATAAAAAAGAAGAAAAGAAGCTGCTTAATTTTCAAAGTAGATTTTGAAAAAGCTTATGACAAAGTCTGTTGGGAATTTCTTACCTTCATGATGACAAAAATGGGCTTTCAAGCAACTTGGATAGGCTAGATTCAAGAATGCCTAAGAACAAGTAGAATATCTGTTTTAGTAAATGGAAGTCCGACAAAAGAGTTTTCTATGAGTATAGGGTTGAAGCAAGCGGATCCTCTCTCACCCTTCCTATTCCTAATTGTGGCAAAGGGACTTAATGGAATTATTAGATTAGTAGTGCAAAAAGGATTACTAGAGGATGTAAAGATTGGGAACAGCCAATTGGGTGTATCCATCTACAGTTTACGGATGACACTGTCATTTTTGCAAAGGCATCGGTACAAAATGTGTATGTAATAAAAGGGGTGATGAGAGCTTTTGAGCTGGTCTCGGGTTTAAAAATTAACTATATGAAAAATTAACCATAATGGGAGTTAATGTAAATCAAGATTGGATAATATGGCTATGATGCTCAATTGTGATGTTAGAGAGGTCCCTTTCAATTACCTGGGCATTTCAGTTGGTGCCAATATGATGAGGCTGAAATATTGGAAACTACTTATTGAAAATTTTGAGAAGAAGCTATTAGATTGGAAATCCCAAAATCTATCTTTGGGTGGC